CCATCAGCAATGTTGCTTCATCTAGTACTGTTACATCTGACAGTAATGATGTCAATCTTCAGACCGCTCGTGCTCTCTATGTCAAGGAGAGGTCGGACTGGCAGTAGCAGGAACTTCGTGTTACCATCAGCAATGTTGCTTCATCTAGTACTGTTACATCTGACAGTAATGATGTCAATCTTCAGACCGCTCGTGCTCTCTATGTCAAGGAGAGGTCGGACTGGCAGTAGCAGGAACTTCGTGTTATGGATTGTCTCACTCGTTGTGTTGGCTCTGTTGGCCTCATGTTTATGAGTCTACTCCATAATCTTGTTTTGATGATTACAAACAAATCCTAACAACGTGTGTCAAGTGTTTGCATTTATTTTGTTAGATAATCTACACAAATATCCACGTTGGAGGTTGGATGGAATCGAACATTCACGATCATATCCATTGGAGGATGGATGGAATAGTGGAGTGAAGCAATATATTTTAAGTCAAGATCCAAGATCAAGCTTCATCCGCAAAGTTTACCAAGACGAGCTTAATCGAAGATCAAGAGATTGGGTATAGTTTTTATAGTTTAGGAGTTTATACTTTGTGTGTTGGTACTTAAAGCTCATATATACACGCATACACGTTTTGAGTTTTCGTTTTCAAGTTTAAATATGAAACAAATATAATTATTTATATACATACATAGATGTTTCATATTTATCATTTTTGGTAAATAATGTGTTTAGATATGCAAATATGAAACAAATATATAAAATTAGAAATTACATAATTGTTTCATGTTTATATGTGCTTAATATGATTTCATCAATCAATAAGCTTTTTTAACTGGAATAATCTGCAATCCTTGTTATACAAGCTCTCAAAACATAGAAAAGCAATCCTTGCTAAATCGGGATTGTTAAGCACAATGTACAGAATTTTCATCTTAATCTCTTTGGCTAAAGTATTTGTATCTTTGCTTTTTAACTTGATTAATCTGCAGTTTCTTTCCCGCCATATGATGTAGACAGAAGTAACCAGGGTCATTCTTTTGAGCTTTTGATTAAAGCCCTTACCTCTCCATCTAGTAGTGAACCAGCTCAAACAATGATGCCAATTGTAGGACTTTCATCTGCACTTTAGCTAATCCAGAATGTTATTCCACACACATCCTGAATATTCACACGCAAAAAACAAATGATCCCTGGTTTCAAGAGAAACAGAGCACAAACAGCAAGAGTTTGAGTTTGAAATCCCCTATTTTTGGAGCCTGTCTTGAGTGAGCAATATGTTAAGGATTGCCAACCAGCAGATAAATGAGTGCTTTGGGATATTAGATCTCTCCCAAACTAATTTCGACCATGAAACATTATTTTCAACTGGAGAGAGAGCATGATACAATGCTAAGAGTTTAATTTTGCCATCTTTATAACAGGAGCTGATCATATTCTTCAGATTATCTATACCACCACGGAAGGTTAGAGCTTTATCCCTTACCTTAATCAATTGCTTCCACATCCACGAGTAACCTTGTCTTGTATTTACATTCCAAGTGTCCCTCTGCTTTTAGTATGTGCCATGAACCCATTTGATCCATAACAGCTCCTTATTAATATGTATGTACCATATACTCCTCAAAGGAGATGCAACATTCCATACAGGGGTTGAAAACACCCCCAAACCCCCTTGCTCCCTCCTCAGGCATACTGTCTTCCATGAAATTAGAGGCAACCTGAATCCTCAGCATGATTTGCCCCGCAAAAACTTCCTGCATAACTCATCTATTCTGTGAAGGAAATTGGTAGAAAGAACAAAATTTGATGTCCAGAATATTTGGATTCCAAGAATCACACTATTAATAACTTGTAGCCTCCCAGCATAAGAGAGGTTTCTATGCTTCATCCAGATATTGAATTGGTTTTCAATTTTCGTAAATAGAGGCAAACAGTCCATAAAGGATAGCCTCTTAGAAAACAGTGGAACACCCAAGTATTTGAAAGGCATAGCTCTCTCATTGAATCCCAAGAGGTAGTTAATTGAGGACTTAACTGGTTCATCCACACCCCCATAGAAAATAGAACATTTCTCAGAATTTGCCTCAAGACCAGAATTAGCACTAAACTCCTTAACACTATTATATAATTTTTGCACAGAGTAATGATTACCTTTTGAGAATAGCAGAAGGTCATCTGCAAATATGAGGTGAGTAATCTTTAGTTTTCCACACTTTGGATGAAATTTAAATAGCATGTCCTTCTCTAGAAGACACATCTTCCTTGAGAGATTTTCCACTCCAAGTCTCAAGCCACGCTGACCCTTGAAATAACCATGGAGAGATCCATTTAGAGATATTGAATACCTTGGAGAAGTGATACAAGCCAAAATCCATTTGATCATGATATCAGGAAAACCCAGACCATGAAGCAAATCTGACAGGAAACTCCAGCTGATTGTATCAGAGCCTTTCTAATATCAATATTTATCATGACCCTTGGAGAAATGTATTTCCTGTTATAGCTCTTCGCCAATTCATGAGCAAGCATGATATTACTTGAAATTTGTCTCCCTTTAACAAAAGCACTTTGTGCATCATTCACTAGATATCCCATGACTGACTTCAATCTATTTGCCAGCACTTTAGAGATGA